AAGTAAGTTCACGGGAGTTACATTTCTCCCCTCCTTAAAAGAAATTTCATCCTCAAAATTTGGTTTATACAAATAACTCTAGGTATTTGTTTTTCATTTCCTCTTCTAGTTCCTAGGTTATTTTTTCGAGGTTATGATTCTCCTATAAAAATTTAACTAAAGAAATTTCTTTATTCCTTAAGTGTTTAAGTCGTCGTTCGAGAATCTGGATTGGTCTTTCCTCATATATTAAGTCCAGCATCAAGTTTGATGGCACTACCTCCGAACTCGACTAGGCTCTCCAATGCATTTTTTTAACATGGACATGTGAAAGACATCATGCACTCTCGACAAGGTTGACGGTAGCAATAGGCGGTATGCCTTATCACCTATACGCTCTAGTATTTCAAATGGTCCAATATATCATGGACTTAGTTTTCCTTTCATCCCAAATTGCGGTAGTCCTTTCGTCGGTGAAACCCTTAAGAAAACATAGTCACCGACTACAAACTCTAGCTCCTTTCTCCTCCGATCGGCATAGCTTTTCCGTTGACTTTAGGCCATCTTCATCCGTTGATGAATCTTTTCATGCCAAATGTGATGATTCCTAAGAAGTTAAAGGTTCTTAAGTTTACCAAATACACTAGGAGCTAGTGTCCTAGGACCAACCTAAGGATTTATTTGAATAAAATGACTCGGGTGGCATATGATGAAAAGCTATTGATCCACTTCTTTCCTAAGAGCCTCGACGAGTCTCCCCTTACCCGGTTTATTGATATGGATCAAACCAAGATCTAAAAGTGGAAGTATTTGGTGGATGTTTTCATGAGGCGAGTATAAATTCAACCTTGAATTAATGCTTGATAAGTTGAGCTAGCAATCTATGGAGAAGAGCTCAAAAGAATCGATCGGGGAGTATGCTCAAAGATGGCATGAAACGAGTGTACTGCATTAAGCCGCCTCTTCGGAGAGAGAACTAGTTACACTTTTTGTCAATATTTTCAAGGCTCCGTACTCGTGATTATTTTTGAGCAATGGATTAAATAAGTTTGTTGAAATCATGTCCGTGGCTGATTGGATTGAACAATCCATCAAGTCCGGAAGGATAGAAGACCTTTCGAAGTCCGAGCAAAGGAAAAATAATTTCAGTAAGAGGAGGGATTTCAAAGTGCACTAGATTGAGGAGTCTTCCGTTAATCATAGAGGGAGATGGAATAAATCATGGGAGAATGGCAACCAATACACTTCCCATAATAAGGCCAACTCGAACGCCTAGTTTGCAATCCCTGCAAACACTTTCTCAACTAATGTGGCTAGACTCGATAACCTAAATACCAACCTTTCCACCATATCAAATGCCACACAACCCTTACAAAAATGCCCAAACATATTCCTTACCCCAACACCAGACCTCAAACACACTACCAAAACCCACAATAATTCATAAACCAACCAAGACCACTAAATTAAAACTCTCTAAAGAATACCGACAGGGGGCAATTCGATGATATATAGTCATCACTTCCCATACCTCTTGGTAATCTCTTCTAGCATCCGGTAATCATGGGTCGGATAACTCCCGTGGCACTCATATTAATCCAGCTACCATTCCCTCATCGGTATAAACCTAATGAAGTTTGTGTGTACCACGGTGGTGCCAATGGTCATAGTATTGAGAATTGTGTGAGCTTCAAGAAAGGGTGTAGAATTTGATTGACGAAGGCCTAATTACATTTGAAGATTCCTCAAATCCCTCAAACATCAATTCTAATCCTTTGCCAAATCATGCCGCTACTAGAAGAGTAAACATGCTATCATTGGATGACACAAAATTAGCCAAGAAGCGGAGTTGAGCGAGTTGGCTTGATGAAGAAGTGCCTATTGTTTTCGAAACTGAGTGGTTCTTTTATTATGATTATCTTTGACTTTCTATCATTACAACATTATGCTGAAATTTTTATCATGCTTTCCTAATAATGTTATTTTATGGGATTATGCAAACTTTTTCCATCTTTATTTGTTTCTTTTCATTCATCTTATTTGCATTCTCTCTTTAGGATGTCCAATATGGTCATATCCTAAAAAGACACAATGGTTATGCTAAAAATCTATTGGCCTAACTCGATGACACTCGGATAAAGAAAAATGTTATGATTTTTATGGATTGAGCCATTTTTTTGAATAATTTTTTTTAACCATCGTAGCATGTTTTATTATTAATTTGAAGCTAAGAGATGTTTATTTGAAAGTATCATTTGCCATTTTATGCCATTCAAGTTGGTAGGAGTAAAATGGTGAATGCATTCAACATGTTTCAAAAGTGGTCGATTTTCAAAACATGTCATGTAAATGCTTGGGAGGCAATTCTTTTTACCAAGACCAAAAACAACTTTTCTCTATAGGCCTTTTCAAGACAACCTTGCCGAGGATAATATAATGATGCCCCAAATAAGAAGCCAAATTATTAGACATCTTAAATGATTATAAGTGGTGCACACTCGAGTCATGTTACTATTTGATGTATCAAAACTAAAGTCAACTAACCCGAGTCAGTCATGCTAGAGATAAAGAAATGCCATTTTTGATCTATCATTCACAAATAAATTTTACCCTTTATTATTCTACTTTGACCTTTTGATAATTTATTTCGATAAAACCAAGAACTCGGATCACCCCTCACATTAGGGGCTAATTTAAAGGTATATGAAATCGCTAATGTTCCGTTAAAAAGTTAGAGATTTGGTTCACAAAAATCAAAAAGAGACTTGACGATTATTCTAGAGCAATGGGGGCAAAAAAAAGAAGGAAAAATATATAATAAATGACACTAAATGAAAGAAAGTGTCATCTAAGTAGCCCTCTATTGTGATTCGAGCTAGAAAATGTTGTGGAATCCCAAGAATGATATGAGTGAATATGAAAGGAGAACTAAGCTTAGAATATGAGATCAACCATTAAAATGTCAAATTCAGTATAGTCAAGCCTAAAATAATTTTGATGGGTGATCATGTGATCTTGAGTCTTTATGCCCTCAAACACCTTTTAAGCCTTTTTTATACCCTTTTATTCATGAGCCCAAGCCTTAACCTACATAACATGCCTTCAAAAACCCTTTCTAATCAAGGATGACTTGCTTTATGTTGATAAGTTTTAACTTAAAAAAAAAAAAACAAAAAAAAAACATAAAAAAAAGAAAAGAAAAGAAAAACATCACTTGTGCGTCACAAATCATCATTCATGGTATTGGATTATTAGTTTTTCATTAAATACTTGGGGAGCAAGGAATAAACAAAAATTAAGATCTTTCTAACCAAAACTATCCAATTAAGCCTAATTTTCTTAAAAAAGCCTCCGAATCTAGGAAATTGCTTGAGCCTATCTAAAAAGCCTCTAAAAAAAACTTTTGAGCCTACCATTTTTGAAAAGCCTTTGAGCCTATGACATCCATTCGAATATCTCACTTCCATTGTGCCAACATTTGACACTTGTCTTTCCAAAAAGTGATTCCTTTTTTAAGCCTTTGATATGATTTGAATACATTTCACTCACTTGGCCTAAAAAGGATCACTTTAAGGATTGTATCACGATATTTGCATGATATATATTAGCTTTCGACCAAAATGAATCAATTGTCCTCTTGAATGGGATTACATTCTTGTAAACATCTCTTTGATTTCTTTTGAATAATTACACTTGCTTTGATGAAAATTGTTTGAATATATGGCTTAATCCATGAAAGTCAAAACAACCGAAAGTTAAGTCTTCTAGAAAATGAAATGAAAAAAATCAAAACCCAATCAAGTTGACTTCACTTTTATCCAGAGCAACAAAAAAGTCATTTGAGTTATGCCCAAAATTCATTAGAGAAATTATTTAAACTTTGCTTATCTAATTCTTACTCTACCCTATGTAACATGATTTGCTCCCTTTTATTTTTCAAAATGGGTCGATTTCCATAAATATGATCTGTCCCTACAAAGACCTTTCTTTGGTCTTATGCATGATCCTATGATTAACATTTTTTTATAAAATATAATGATGTAGGAAATCGATATAACTCGATAAGAGTTTTGCTCAAGCTTGGTAGTTAAGGAGGCTTTCTACATGAAATCGACATAAGGTCTTTCCTAATAGACTAAGAGGGTGATAATGAAAACTATCTCCATGATATCTAGGTCAAAATTTTTGATATGAGCTGACAAAAGCTCAAACACTTAGAGGCAATACTCTAGGAGAGTGAAAGAATGAAAGACTACATGCTTAACCATAGGGGCAAATGCCATCTAGATAGTATGAATGATAACCTAGTCATAACCTAAAAAAAAAAGTGGAGGACATCATATGAGGATATGTGATTAAACAAAGAAAAGTTAGCAAGAGCGACTAGCCTAAAACCTCGAGCCTATTCGGATGATGATGACTCGCAAATGAGGAGAAGGGGGAAGTTTATGTTTTGGCAATGATAATTTATGTTTCTTCGATGACAACCGGGTATGTCATTTTACACTTTTGTGAGTTGATTTATTGTTTTTCCATTTTTGTATGATTTTCTTTATAAGCTTACTATGCAAAGCCAAAGAAAGTCATTTTTTCAATGGCTTTACGTTGTAAGCATTGTAAAGAGAGGATAACTCGTTCACACTCAAATTTTTTTCAAAAACATAAAAAAATAAAAAAGAAAACAGAAAAAGAAAAGAGACTAAAAAAATATAATTGAGGGATGCGATTGAAGAAAGAGAGGAAAAAGTGACCAAAATGAAGCTAGTTGGTGAGATGAGGGACCAAACCAAACTTAGCCTAGAAAAACCCTACATATAAAAAGCCTCCATGCCTTTTTTTAGATCACTGCTATTCACCTTCTCCAAAAATAACCTAACCGCCGACTTACCACTACCCTCTCTCACTCTAGCCGACCGCCACACACCAGCCCTTCCTTTCGCCTCGTCCTACGTAGTAGCGGCCTCCACACCTTACCGGCAGCCTCCAAAGTGCCTTGTCCCATGCCTCGACCTGCTGAAACTTCACCCACACACACAAGCAGCAACATCCCTCACCCCGGCGCATAACTTTGTCAATGTTAGCGTGCACCAACCTAGCGTACGAGCCTCTCCCCACGTAGCACACCATGGGCGGTAGGCTTCTGCAGCGTGTACGCTTGCCAATGTCCTAGCCTTACGTGCACCTACCAGCCGGTGCCTAGGCCAACCAACGTTAGTGCCTACCAACCATCGCCTTAGCCTCGCACGCGCCTACCGGCCCCAATGCCCGTGCCAATCAATGCCTATCGGCAGCCTCGCGAGTGCCTCATGAAAGGATCATACATCTTATGGAGGTGTGAAATGAATAAAAATTTTCCTCCATCTAAGGGCCCAAGATCATGCTCGTTGAATGAACTAATCATACATACATAAATAATAAGATAAAAGTAAAAGATTACCTCTTGTAGCACAAATTTAAATCCTCTTTTTTGATTAGTTGTCCAAGTGTCCAGACTCTATTGATGATCCACGCTGACCTAAATGTCCATAAAGAAGTACTCAAAATTGATGGGGTGCTAGCTCCACCTTTTCCGATTAAGTTTTTTTCACTAGAAATCAATCTTGGATAATTTTACGATAACTTTAAAAGAGAAGGTAAGAGTATTTCTTGCTAGGGTTTATGGAGAAAACTATTTTCTCACTATTTTTCCCTTTTAGTCATGTGCCTTCTTTAGTTTGGAGGTCGGCCAAATTTTCTATTAGGTTTTTTTCCTTGGTCAAAATTCTCTATTTTGTTTTAATCTCACTCTCTTTACTTGCCCTTCTCTTCCTATTTATAGGGGAGGAGTTTCCTTGTCCTCTAAAGACAAGGAAAGTGGCAACCTTGAGTCCATAAATGACTCTAAGTTTTTGCTTTCTTATCCTCCAAGGATGAGCGAGTTATTTTATTTGTGGACTATTGGATATTTATCTTTAAAACATTCATCCTTATTCAATAAGGTTAATATTTATCCTTCCATTAAAATTGTCTTAAGGCTTTTAATTAAATTTAATGGGTCAAAACTATTTTAGCCTAATTAATTTATTTGGACTATCCAAATAAATATTCTTAGATTATTTTAGCGGGTTCCAGATCGGAAAGCAATTTTTCAAAATACCCTTTAACCTAAATTAGGAAACTCCTTTTCTTATAGGTTCTTTGTTTTTAAATTTGAAACTAACTTCCAAATTAGGAAACTGATTTCTAAAATAAGAAACTTTCATTTTATGAAACTTTACATTTTAGAAAACTTTTCATTTTTAGAAACTTTTCATTTTGGAATCTCTTTCCAAAATAGGAAACTTTTATAATTGAAATTTTTTTCAATATCTTTGCTTCTTATTTGTAATGTGAGTACTTGAACTTATGCGTATGACTCAATAGGCTCCTAGATATGTTGGCAATATATCAAGAATAAAAGACTCCTCTTTCATCTCTTGATACATAAATCAAGATTTGCCTCTAGCAAGGCATCATGACTACCTAATTCTCTAGGAGGATTAGTCAATCCATTATTACCTTTCACAAGCATAGTTATCATACAATTCAATCCTCATGTCAACTTATCACAATGTGATCTCAAACTTCGTTATTAGTCTTGTTTGATTATGATCACACAAGTTTTCTTTGATTCTTAAATGTCTTATCTCTTAGAGTAAACTAACTATGCTCTATTGATGTTCTCTTATTGTGGTCATAGATTTCTTGTGTAGACATTTATCGAAGTGCAATGTAACAACTCCTTTAGCATACAAGGAATGACATGTCCTATCTTACCCATACACCTATCTCCATTGGATTCCTAGTGCACCTAACGAATCACCCACGTGTAACCCATTAATGGGTCCATCGAAACGAGTGTCAAAGTGCATAAGTCCTCCAATGAGATAACCGTGATGACTTCAAGTCTAAGGACCATTTGTACCCATCTCGTATGAGATTCCTAAAGACTTAAACCAAATTGGTTCTCACGATGAGTCAAATCCAAAGATATGTTCTCTAACATAAATCACCTAAGTGCTTGCTTTGGCATCACCATGCCAATATGTGTGAGATCTCTAACTACTATCATATAGCGTAAACATAACACTCACAAGTCTATCTCGCATATTGTCAATATTCATTATTGATAATGTTACGACTTGAGACATTTAATGATATCATTTATGTGCATTAGTGTTTGTCTCACATCTTTCGATCAATCACTATTGCAAATATATATCATAAGGTCTTCTATCTAATTCTACTAAATTTATCAACATATAAACATAAAAATTAATAGAATGACTTCTTTATTATTATTAAAATAAATGATGCAATAACATATTAACATAAGCCCATCCAAACATGGTTGAATCTTGGGCACCAACACTAACGACTCTAGCGACCACTAAGCTAGACATTCCGAGTTCGCCTACCGCAACTCTCATTCATCTTTCCTCCATGGTTGATCGAATATCAATCTCCATCGGGGTTGAAAAGAGTCCGAGCGATCCCAAATTCAACCGACTAGTCTCGCCTCATTTGTTTTTTTACAATAATCTTTTTTCAACTTTTCATTTTACTTTATTTTTTTATTATTTTAACATGTATTATATGTAATTCATATTTGTAATTGATTAATTGATTGTATTGTATAATTAATTTGCTTTGTTGTTCATGTGTAATTTATTTGAGTTATGGTGATGTGTATTGTTGATTTTACGATTTGGTGAATGATGTGTTGGTTTAGACTTTAGGATACTTGCTATTATTCGATACATGTATATTTTATTTTTTTTAACGTGTCTTACATGGTAATTTTATTAAAAAAGGGACATAACATTGAATCAAGAAAGTTTAAACTTTTGTCATGTAAATCTATTTTCATCACATAATCAATCATGTACATCAAGATAAGTAATTTTATTGATTCTTATTTCTTTTTATCAATTTTAGTCCGATTGTCAATTTTCATCGATTTTTGCCTACGATTACTTACGTTGTTGATTTTTACTTTACTTTTCTCCTTAATTGTCGATTTTTGCCTATGATTACCTAAATTGTTGATTTTACCTATTTTTGTCTTAATTGTTGATTTTCACTTATGATTGCTTGAATTGTCGATTTTACTTATTTTTGCTTTAATAGTCAATTTTTGCCTATGATTGTCCGAATTGTCGACTTTTACTTATTATTATCTTAATTGTCGAGTTTTGCCTATGATTGTCTAAATTGCCTATTTTTACTTGTTTTTTCCTTAATGGTCGATTTTTCCGTATGATTGCCTAAGTTGTCAATTTTTGTTGGTTTTTACCTCAATCATTGACTTTTGCCTATGATTGCCTAAATTATCGATTTTGTCTATGATTGTCTAACCGGTCAACTTTTGCCTATGTTGGCATAAATTGCTGATTTTTTTGCCTAATTGCCAATTTTTTCCCGATCATTGATTTCTATCAAATTTGCTAATTTTATCATTATTTGCTTGTTTATCCATCTTGCTAAGTCAGCCTTTTTTTTTTTTTGCCTATTTTTCAATTTTTGTCTATTTAATTTTATCTCGTTTTTCTATCCTTGCATTCATCATTTTCCGCCCTCCATTACAGAGTGAGGACGAGATCTCCGATTGGTCAAGTCCCGAATCATTCGACTAGGGGTAAATGTTTTAAAATAAGTGGTCTTTTATCATTTAAAAAATCAAAAATTGAATTAATATTGTATGCAATGCAACTTGCCTTAGACAAGATGGCGTAGGGTATTTTTAATTTCCCTATACGTAATAAACCTTTATCCAAAAATCCGAATAAAACAGTCATAGGGTTTCCTAGTAACCATAATACTAGGTGGCGACTCCAATCATCTTTGCCTATTTTCCCTATTTTCACCTTAACTTATCACCCGCGCCATCGACGTTGCTCGCGGCATCTCTCCCCCTATCTCTGTTTCTCTCTCTCTCCCTCTCCCTTTCTTCCTCTCTATCTCCCTTTTTCCCTCCATCTCTCTCTATCCCCTTCTCTCTTCCTCTAGACTTGGACTTTATTAAGCCCATTTTATGTGTCCTAATCGAACTAGCCTATTAGTGTAATTAAATAATATAATCCAAAATGTAGGAATCTTAACCTAATTAGGAATCCTAATCCAATTAGGAATCTTAACCTAACTAGGAATCCAAATTCAATTAGGACTTCTAGTCATACTCCAATTTTGAATTGCTCTTTATGTGTGATCCTATAGGTTCTTATTATGTTGGTAGTGATCTTAACATCACAATTTAGAATCATAAGTAGTGAGTGGCATCTAGCAATGCATCACTACTACCCAAGTAATAAGAATGTCGGTGATTTGATATAACCTAATCTATGACATATGTTACCATGTATTCTAGTCCCTTTATCCTAAATGTCTAGATTTAAACATGAGACACGAAAGTGTCATCCTTATATAGTTTAATCTTAGCATTTCTTGATCCATGAGTTGACTACTCTAAACAAATGAGATCAATATCTCGTATCGATTCATTTGAGTATGGCCATGCATTTCACAATTTGCACTCAATAAAAGAGCCCATAGACATCACTCCAATTATATAAGAGGGATAAATCCTATATATATCACTCATATCCCTCTTCATGATTCATGGTATATCCAATAAACAACTTTATAGTCCATCCTATTAAAAATGATGTTTGATGATATGAAATATGAATTTTCATGTAAGGAACCATAGTGAATTCAAGTCGAAGGACCACATACACCACAATCCTAATGAGAAGAACTTATGACACTTAAATAACGATCAATGTAGTGATCTCATGGCGAGTCGATGCGGTACATGTTCTTCAACATGTACTCATGTGTCGACTTGATATCTCTTATCTATAATACATTGTTATTAGTCATTACACATACCAGACCTTAATGCTTTACTCGTTGCCCCTTTAATATATCAATAATAAAACACTTAATTAGGAACATTTAAGAAAAACATATTTTTGAAACTTTATCATGTTTATTTAACAAACTATAGGAATAAATAAACATAATACATAATAAATGGAATGCCTTATATATATGTATATAATAATAACATGATAAGTGTATGCTAGTACAATCAAGCTATGAGTAGCTTCTAGGACATACACTAATAAGGGAAAGGAAGGGAGAGAGAGGGAGAGAGAGGGAAAGGAAAAAAAGGAGAAAAATAAAGAGGTCGAGAGAGAGAAGGAGAGGGAGAGAGAAGGAGAGAGAG